AGAGGTGAAAAACGGAGAGCGAGAGAGGCAGTTGTTGTTCCAGTGTCACTCATGGCCTCCCTCGGGAGCCTTTAGACCTTTAAGATCTCCTTCTCTTTTTTTCCCCGCAGGCGGCCAACGCTCTCCTCGCCCCGTTCCTCTTCCACCCGCCGCCTTTCCTCCCTCGTTTATTGCTCCTCATCCCTGCCTTTCTCCAACTCAACCCCCGCTCATTTTGCTGCTTCCTCTTCACGCTCGTATCCGTTCTCCTTCCCCTCGCCCTTCGATCGCCGACTCTCTGGTTCCCATGGACTCATTCAGACTCAGTCGTCCATCCTGCTTCCCACCTTCACGGTAACACAGAGGCTACTATTATTAAATTGCCCCGAATGGACGTGGGCGTTTTGGGGGGAGAAACAAGCAGAGCTGGAACGCTGCGGCAGAATACGGGCCGGACTGGGACATAATTCACCCCTGGAGTCTGATTGGAATCTCCACACATTCAACAGACTACGTAAACTGGTGTTGCCAGGCGGCAGCGTCCAACGTGTCCAACGTGCCTTCAACTTGCTTTCTGTCTAATGGTCATCAGTGGACAAATCCTCTGTCTGTATAGAAGGAGTTAATAACAAAAGGCCTCTCTTCTAGCTTGATTTATTGCCTCAGTAAATATTTTAAACATGAGTTTACGGGCTTTATCTTTGATACAGCATGATGTTTATTTAGTAAATGATGGTCCATTTAGAGTCAAATAGACTCGTGATGGACAGGTCACTCCTGCATCTCTGTAAAGGCGTCACTCCACGAACAGTCCAACCACTGTTGGCAAAAAAATGGCGTTGGCCTAAACGTTGCACTCGAGGCCTCAAAATGGCATTCCAGAAGCTAATGGTTGATGTCACCACGAGCGTGTCCACAGTGTATGGTTAATATCTGAAACATAACTTTTAATTACGTTCTCTTCCTCTCGCCTGCTCCCATCTGTTCTCATTCCCTCGTCCTGTTTGCTCCCCGCTGCTTTTCTCCGAGCTCGGTTCATCGAAAGCTGAATAAATATTATGTTGGTACATATACATGCATGCGACCAATTAGTGATGAAGGCGAGAGAATACACCATCGGCTTTAACGTGATGAAAACTTGATAGAAACATTTTCAGTGGCTGAATCTGATGGTAATGTTTATTCATATGCTGTCATGTTGCATCTCCGGCTTACATTTCAGGCACGCCGCTGCAGGGGTTTGAAGGGGAACTTCTGCAAATCTTTCGTCCAAAACTATTTGTGTAACATAAGCTTGAAAAGTCCGAGGCGGCGGATCAAGCTGCTGCGAGTTTAAAAACGTTATCAAAATGGATGAGCGAGCAGTAGCACCGGGCTTCAAGTCTTTCAGTTCTCGTATCGTTTCAGCAGATATTGTTACAGTCGCAGTCCGTCGGGTCCTCACCGTTCCCCCAACGTCTCCTCCGGTTCTTTGCTGGAGCTTCCTGTGACAGCCTTTACAACCACGAAAATCAATCAGACAATCTGAGCATCCGTCTCCTCTGCCGCCTTTCAGTACGCTAGACGGCACCGGAATCCCGGGACAACGGAGCAGATACGAGATCTAAGGCCAAGTGAAGGTTAGAAACGGGGTGTTTCAGCGATTCTGTTTGAAGTGGATGTCGCAAATGAGAATATGGATCATTGAGCAAAAGAAACCCGTCGACGATTGACCGATCTGAAATGAACGAGCGGACATCTACACAGGTGTCAATGTGCGCTAAACTTTACCTCATGCAAGAGCTTTCTTGTATCTTATTCACGTAAATATTGGAAACGTTGGATCTCTTTGGGTCTCATCTTCCACATCCACTGTCTAGACTTGGTTGTCCAAGCGGAGAGTAGAAACAGAACTACAGCCGGTCCGGGGGGGCGCGTAGTGAAGCCCAGCTGCATGAAGATGATTCTGACCCATTGATCTTCATGTTTCATACCCTGTGATGTAGATTGCTGGACATCAGAAGCAACCTTTCAATCAATTCCGTTTTTGCGGTGCATTGAATCTGCGTATCCGCGTGCGTGTGTGTGTGTGTCTAAGTGTCCCGGTGCTTTTGTTTTCTTGGCTGTTTGCATTGTGTTTCGTCCATGTTGTGCATCGTGGTTAAGTGAAGGCCTTCAGCGCGGCGCGTTGCCTGATGGCTGAAACAACCCTCACAACGGCTCGTTTGATAGGAGAGAGTGACTGAGTGCTCCATACAGGGACTGTTGTATCAATTTCATTTGAATTGCGTGCGATATGGAAGCAATTTCTCACCGCCAGTGTCACTTAGATAATGGCATTATATCCGGGGTGTTTTGCTACCAAGCGAGGGAGTGAAAAATGGACCGGAACAACCGGAGTTTCCACCCACTCATTTTAACTTCTATAAAGCAATGATACAAAATGAGGCCTTGGCTATTGATTTAACAATATCAATGTTTGATAATTCACATATATATATATACCAACAACTCCAGCGCCGACTCGCTGATGAAGAAATTGAGCTGCATTTCAAATAAAGATTGACTGTAAAAGATGGAGTTGAATGGAAGAGAAGGGGGAGCTGGGATACGGATGTGTGGAGCACAGGCAGGAAGGGACAGTGGGCGGGTTCACTTATCGCTACACTCATCACTTCCACAGCATGTGGATGGTTGGAAACATTAACCAAGAAACTAGAGTAGAAGCAAAGTTTTTGAAGGTATCATTCCAGCTGGCAGGGAACATAATAATAACTTAATGGGCGAAACGTTTGCCAAAGCCGTGGATTTTCATCAGCTAGTGGTCTGAATGTTCTCCTCCACTAAAGCCAAAAGTAGAATTTATGGATGGGACACTTCTGCTAAACCTCCGGTTACGTTCAGCTAGAACATTTTCTTACATTTAATTATAACATTTTCAAGTTTTCACTTCTAGCTGCACACGGCAACTACAGTGAGATTACGTTTGGGGAGACGATGGCAGTTGAGACAGATTATACAATATTCATAGGTTTGGTAAAGATTGTCAAACAGCGCCCTGTTTAAAGTCTTCTGAGGCTTCAGAATTCCGGTTTTCAGATGGAGCGCTGAGGCTCATGTGGCCATCGCCGTCTTGAGTGGCGAAGGAGCCTCGCTTCCTTTGTTTACTGTGCTCACATCTGTGGTCCTCTCGCGCAAACTCCAGCTACCAGCGTCATCATCCCTCACTACTTCTCAGAGCACGCCATCTCATTCCCTCGGAAACCTGTTGGCAACAGCTCTTGTTTTTCAGTGCTCTTTCAAACGCTTAATTAATAATGAACATCAGGCAAAATCAGGCAACTTTTGCTACTCGTTGTTTACTGATGCCGACGGGTATTTTCCCATAGCTATATTTGGTCAAGTGTTCTCTGGCCTTTCCGTGGATGCGCTCATGAACACAGGTGGCTGGAAACCTCCACCCAAAGCGTGGTACCTCCCCTTGGGAGTGAATGAGGACAGTGGCCGGTGCTTCCTGCCTGTTCAGGGATGTAATGAGTAAGAAAGGTGCAAGTAATCCATCTTTTCTTCTTCTACTATCCTTGGGTGCTCTCCACTACCCTCCACCCCCACCCTGACCAATCGGTTGCCTGTCCTCCGCCCTCATCTTCCATAGCCAACCCCCTTCACTCCCACGCACACATCCAGCTTGCCTCCCGTGAAGGCCGCACGTCGCCGGTGGAAGCGTCCCGTTGACATGCATCTTGTGTGCTTGTGCCCCGCCTCCCATCTGTCTCTCACCGCCTTCACCCCTCCTCCCTCCCCTCCTTCTTTCCTACCTCATCCTCTACTGCATCTGGATATTTGTCCCCTCTCTCCTTTGTTTTCAAGTTTTCTTTAAGCTTTCCTTTCCTCATCTCTCTCTCCCTCCTAGAGGTCCGTTAAAGCTTGGACCAGAACCCCACCTGCTGGCGAGATGGAGGAGGAAACACACCCAGTCTTTTGTTATGATGAAAGACGTAGTTTCAGCTTCTCTGACTTATGACTCGTTGCAACTAGCTATGCATGTTGTTACATTTATTTTCGGCAACCCCAAATTACAATGAAGGTTGATTGAAATTAGTTTGGGAAGTGATCAAAATTGTGTTAAAATTGTGTTGTGTATGTTTTGTTTCTCGTGATCTGTAAGCTGTGGGTTATTTGACCAAAGGATAAGCAGCAGCAGTAAGGATAAGGAGGACGTCACTTCTGCTTGCTTGATTTTTTTTAATATATTCAATTTCATTCTGATGTGTTTCACGAGCTGCAGTACAAGGGAAGACTCAACACCGCAAAGAAAATTGCAGTGCAAAGACTGATTCATCCCCAGTGAAGAATCATACGCGCGTCAGCTAAAATGCACTACGTAGTGAAACCAAACGAGTGCAAATCACGGGGGCAGTTATCCTTTTATCATCTCTGTATCAAACGTGACAGCGTTTACTTCGCCACCGGTGATGAAATATGATTTTCCCAACAAAGAGGACCCAAACAACCTGTGGAAAAATTCCACCCTACCTTTGTTGCTGCCGCCAAAATCCCCGCTGCAGCCGGTGATTGTGCTCAAGCATCCGTGGTGGTGGCTGCTGTTGTGTGCAGCTGCTGTCAGCCTTGTTTGAAATAAAAAAAGCACTGCTTGTAATGAGATGCTTTTACAGTCGAGTTAGAGGCCTCGCAAGCCGTCAGCGAATCACAAATTGGCTCTTAATTGAAAGGAGAGGTCGAGGTCGGCGTGACACGCAGCTGATGAAGCTGCACACCAAAGAACGGCGGCGTTAGTGAGCGTTCGGGACCCAACGGGCGGCTTTGAGCTGAGCATTATTCTGAATGCTGAGTAGAAACTATTGATTACCTGCGTATCATCGCAGCTGTGATTACTCATGACGCTTACACATATTCCATTAGACGCCAACTCGCTGCTGCGTGCGTGGCGTTTTTGTTGCTCGGCTACGGATGGTATCAGCGCCGATTAGTGATTCCAATGAAACGAATCCTCTCTTGTTTTTCTTCTCACCCTGAACCAGATACGGAGCGGCGGATGACTCCGGGCCCGTCGTCAGGCGCCGTCATCGGAGGGATCCTCGGCACACTCGCCGCCATCGGCATCACCGTCGCCATCGTCTTCTACATCCGCAAGTGCCGGGAGGACGGCGAGTAAGTCTTCATCAGCTTCCACTTGTTCGTCCTCTTTTTAACTCTCCAAGCAAATTGTGATAATAAAAACAATCCCGTGTTTTTGCTCAAGGTGAAGACCAGCAGCAAATAAAAACTGCTCCACTGATTCTTAAATTGTCTGGATTGTGTGACCAGGATGACTTATTTACCTCTTCCACTTGAGGACCTGCAGCAAAACAAATCGATTTCAACTTAAATATCAAATCTTGAGAATTTGGGGGGTGAGACACACGCGCACTGTAACTAACTCACTGTGTGCATGTTGTGAGACATTAAGTGTGATTCCTCAGAACTTTTCAATCTCTTTTCTTTTCAGATTTTTTCTGTTGTATACTTATTAAGTGGTAATTGTGTTGACATTAAATAGCACAGAGCTAAAAAATTAAGTGTAGTAGGCAATGCAGACATAAAGCAGGGATCGAGGTTGCTGCTCATGGTCTGAATCTGTTAGAAACTGGAAAGCTGTATCCATGGTCCGTACAAGTGGAGGCTTTAAACGGGTCATTTACCAAAATAGGCTGCTATGCTGAAAAATCCAATTTTGGATTCCCGATTGAATACGAAAAGAACACGAAACACTTGCAGGGCCTCAGCCATCTTCAAACTTCTTTGGATCTCTGACACACCTGTAAGGTTTGGTGACTCCGTCTTACATGTCAGATGAATATAAAACACCTGCAAAGTGGTCTCAGCCAGACTCCTGATACTTCATGAAATACCCACCTGGCCACAAATGGCTGCTGAAATGAAACTACATGAAAGCCTCAAACCATGTAGTCCGAATGGACGTGTGGACATGAAGGGCCACACGTTGTTTACACGCTGTCTCTGGTCCACCTGCTTCCCCGACACTTGGGGAAACAAAAGGGTCATTTTGCCACTAAAAGGAATAGAATCTGCTTTATGACAGAATCTTTCTAGACCTTCAGTGTGTGTTTGCCTTTCGGCCTGTTTCTTTGTTTCTCACAAAAGACAAATCTGTCTCTCAGCGCTGCGTTGTCTTTGTCTTTTCTCCAACCAGGGCGCCCCCCAAGCACAAGCCCCCTCCCCCTGTCAAGGCAGGCAGCACAACAGAGATGGTGAGTGCTCAACGTAACCTTGACTCACTCTTTAGTGTCACCGCGATCACATTCCTCATACACCAACACACACACACGCTCCATTTGGACATAATGGGGCTAATGGCTATTGATCTGGGATCCATGTTTGCTTATGTATGTCAAACTAATTAGCTTGGTTTGCAAAGACCTCCATTAGACCACTCATGTCCCACTCCTCCTCCTCCCCATGTTATTCCATCATCAATCACACGTTTGCGATCACTGTGCTCACTATCGCGTTATCTAATGACACCAGAAACACTGCAATTTCACCTTGATTTGATGTAATCGTCTGTTAATGCACGGCTGAAACGAGGTTTCGCTTGTTCAACTGTGAAGGTTTATTACATAGATACAGGTAATATTAATAAGAGGGGAGTAGTAAACCAATTTAGAAAATGTATACAATAAATATAAAAACTAATAAAAATAGAGTGAAATAGAAATAAATAAATCCAAGGAAACATAGATCAATACAAAAGTTTCCATTTTTATACATTTAGCTATAAATGTAAATTCTTATAGTCACTGGGTTATGGCTGCTGGTTTTGCATCCTCCCACTTTAGCATTTTCCTGGCAATCAGTAAAAGTAAGTGCAGAAAATACCTCAGATCTGTGTCCCTTCCTGACTAACTGACTCTTATGTTCAGCATGTAGAGTCTCAATTGAAGACATCTTTACAAACATTTGACGGTAGTCTTCTTACATTTTTAGCATGTGGAGGTAGAGGCTAAGATTACAATCGGTGAATAAACATGCAACGTGACAGTGGGAAGTGAGCTCATATTAGCATATCCGCTACATATACCAGACCCAATAAGAATCTAATGTCAAAACGAATGAACGAGGGTGCCTAGTGTACGAGTTCAGCTTCATATGTGTGAGACTGTGTTGCTTTTTCCTTCGAGTCAACACACTCTCCACTTAATCAGTGGTCTGCTGCACTGTGACACATACACACACATTTTCATGCATTGTCTCGAGCTCTAATCTTCTTCCGCTTCTTTTCCCCCTTGCTGTTTGCGGATGGTGCGGTTTGATACGGTGTGGTTTTTGTGCATGTAGCTGAACAAGCCATCGGAGCCTCCCATGCCCACAGAGACGGCCCCTCTCAGCCCTGGAGAGGTTTACTACGAGCCCACGGGGGGAGAGCCTGTCACGGTAAATAGCACAGTACACACACGGTGACACGGGGGCCACACTCGTGTCACAGTAGGCTCCATATCTGCTGGGACAGCTGCACACGGTGGTTGTAGGGACGTCATGGTGTTTGGACTTTGTCCGAGTCATTAATACTTGCATTAATACCAGGACCATTTAGGTGTTTCTGAAACTCTCCGTTTAGTGATTACAGTGCATGCGGAAAGTATTCACAGCGCTTTACTTTTTCCACATTTTGTTATGTTACAGCCTTATTCCAAAATGGATTAAATTCATTATTTTCCTCAACATTCTACGCACAACAACCCATAATGACAAAGTGAAAACTATTTTTAACAGATTTGCAAAAATTTGCAAAAAACAAAGAACGAAAACATCATGTACATAAGTATTCACAGCCTTTTCTCAATACTTTGTTGAAGCACCTTTGGCAGCAATTACAGCCTCAAGTCTTTTTGGGTGTGATTCCACAAGTGTGGCACACCTATTTATGGGCAGTTTCTCCCATTCTTCTTTGCAGAACCTCTCAAGTTCCATCAGGTTGGATGGGGAGCCTCGGTGCACAGCCATTTTCAGATCTCTCCAGAGATGTTCAATCGGGTTGATGTATGCCACAGTATGACCTAAACATACTGTAAATCTCTGTATAATGTCACACCTTGTGCAGAACCTGGATGAGGAGACCAGTGGAGCCCTGAATGGCGGCGCCCCCCCAGTCCTGCATGACCCGGTCGGATACGACAGCGTAAACGAAGTCGCCGCCGATGGTCAACGCGGCAACAACTTGGATTCGTCCTACCACGAGCAACCGGCTGCCAACATCTCCCGTGGCGAGAGCTTTGTATCTCCCGCCATGTACGTGTAGCCTTGGCAACCACGGCCACCGCATTCGCCGCCATACAGGCACATTCCAGGTCCCCTAAATTTGCATGAAAGGCAAAAGGCAAGCACACTTGTTTCCACACTAAAAGGTTTAAACCCACACACGATGACATCCTTCACCAGGCCCATTTATTGGGTGTTTTTTGGGACAAAATGTTTATCCATCTCCCCATGAACACACAGTGAGAAGCAGTGTTTTCATTTCTCACCACGTGAAAAATGAAAGTGACTGCTGACAAACAGTAATGTAAGCAAGGGTAAAATGTTTTATTTGTGTTCATATCTATAACTCTTGCATGCAACTCTGTGCATACTGTGGTGCTGGATCCTTCTCATCAACCAACTCGGGGGGATTGGAGATCCCGACAATCATCATTAGATTTTAAATACCTGATACCTGAAAAGTAAAACATAAAGCACAGTTTTCAAAGCGGTTTGGACAGACACACACAGCAGCGATGATAACTGAGATCACATGTTCATTGCGTATAAGGAGGAGGGATTTTACAATATGTTAATTACAGGGTTGAGAGGTGTTGCAACACTCCCCTCAGCTAAATAACCACCAGTGGGCCTGTGGGATGCATGCTAATCTAAATTTCAGCCAAATAATAAACTAGCGAGACAACGGCGTTTCAGTGTGAAATATAATATGCAGCATTTTTTTCCATCTCACATCCCAAAATGAGTGTTTTATTTGAAGATACCACCCGTGGGCTTTTCTGTTTACAGGTGTGGAAAATGATTTGAACATCTCTATTTAAGGATTAAACATCAGGATCCTCCTGCAGCCTTGCAATACTGCGGAAGAAAAAAAATTACCACCTTTGAAATCTGTTTAAAGGACTCTTCTTCCACGGTTTGTTTGGTTTTAATTACACACCCTCTGAATACGGTCCCAGAAAGGCCGAGGTATGTTGCCCTCCACGCAGCTTCAATTAATCACGCACCATCTTTGAAAGTATTTCAGTCCTTTATCAACTCAAACAATAGCTCTAGAAAGAAAATGCAACCTTTTGCTTTTATTTTCCAGGCTACAGTCGCGTAAAGAAACATTCCGCTTTATTATGTCGTCAAAAAAAGGAATGTTTTTCCCCGGAGCGACCGGTTGCTCGTTAGCACTAATGAAGGGGAAGTGACATTGTTCTGAAGCGCCGTAACCTGGCAACATTACATGATTAAGATTCCACGACTCATAATTGCAAGAGTGTGTGGCTGTGTGTGTTGGGGGGATGAAACCCGGTTTACAGCAGGGCGCACACACACAAACCACAGGGCTAAAAACAAGCCCGTTTTCAGTCCTCCTAGAATAAATTCCATTAATAAGGGTGAGAAAACATCATGAGGATTGTATTTTCAGAGTGTGAAAATGCTCGGCGCGTATCAGAAGAATACTGCCATTACAGCCATTTTATCTAATTAAAATGGTCACATGCTCTGATATATGCACAACATTTTACATGTGGAAAATATGCGTTCTGCGTTTTTAATTTTCAAGAAAGAACCACAGGGCAAGAAACAACTATGCCTGACTGAATCCAAATCTCATAGATGTCAGATGGTACCAAATGATCAACAACCAGTGTAAATAGTACTGATGATATTGATGAATAATATATTGTTGGTGAATTGTGTACACATAAATAATTTTACCAGTGTAGGTGTTATCAGTGCCTCTGTACAGGGGATGGAAGTTTGTTTAATGTCACATTGAGAGGTTAAAAAAAAACACAAAAAAACAAAGTGTATATTACTATTTTATTTTTCACGGGTATATTGAGGTTGTCACTTAATGCGAAAATGTTTTATTTGAATATATGAAAAAAAAATGAAATAGTGTGGATTGTACTCCTGTTCATATAACTCTGCATGGCATGATCGGTGGCTTGTTGAAACACTTTTCCCAACGCTGTTTGCAGAAAAATGTTCTCCATTCGTAAAAGCATTTTGAATGTCCAAAAAACGAACAAGAATTATGTTGTTGTTGTTTTTTTTAATCTCTATCTCAGTGCATCTGTCACATTCACGCAAACCACAAGCACAAGTCCAATTTCAGTTGAGAGAACGGGAGGGTTTTTTTCTTGCGTGGCGGCTCGGCAGGGTTCCATTTTTCCGTTTTTTATGCAGTCAGCATGGAATCGTGGTTTCTTGCGGCGCTCAAAGTACAAACAACCCAGAGAGAGAATTTTTCCTCTCTACTCTAATCCTGAGCTCCTGCTGGAGGCCTTGAGGTAGATACCTCGCATCTGAGGTGTAATATTGACAGTCCATAATAAAAGATGCTACTAACCAGAGCCTTTAATCGACATGTTAATACTCCCAACCCGTCACGTACACACACTTAATCCTTCATTTAATCCAAAATTAAACTACATCTATGAATAATATAGAGACGACTTACAAAATCTACCGGAATCACAGAGCTATGCGTTATGTCACTGCATCCACTGACAATGGACACCATCTTTACCCAGAGCTAGCTGCTATGTAGCAGCATGACACCATGTGGTCTAAGCTAGCAACGCTAATTCAGCAACACTTGCTAACCTTTGGCCAACAAGCCAAAGACAGTAGACCAAAAGTCTTGTGTGCTGCTGTGATGTAGCTCAGCCTCCTACACGCAAAAGAAGGCCCGGCTCATTTTCATCCACTCAAAATGCAACGGCCTCTTTGTCTCTGCCTCCCTTATCCCACTTACACACCTATTCATGAATCATTTTCCACCCAATTTGCAAACACCTATAAAACCTAAAAACTCAATTTGTGATTCTTTATGACACAATTTTGACACATTTCCCTCAAAATGGGAGTCTGATTTAGAGTTTGTATTGACGTAACAATATCAAGATTCTTCTATTGATTTTTCAACACACACGTATCTGTTCATCTCTAACTCTCCCCCTGTGAATTTACCTACTTAAATTAAAATAAATGAAAATCAACCAGGTGACTAAAACCGCAGACTTCTGGCTGAAAGCCCTGGATTTTACTCCCCAACCTGGACTTTGTCACTCTTCATACTGATGCTGCGTTCAACCAAAAGCCAAGCGAATTACTCGCGCGAGTAGATTCCATCCAAAGTCAACGCACTGATGGGAATGGTTGCGGTTGAAGCAAATTTTCAACGGGCAGCGCAAAAGGCACGAAAGACACAAACAAGCGAAGCAAATTTTGCCAAAGTTGAAAAATTTCAATCCCCTTACGGAGACAGGCCGCTGAGATGAGCAATGCCCCCTTTCAGGCACGAATGAAGGCGATTTAACTATCACTAGTGAGTAATCTCGCTCGACTAACATGTGGAAAAAAATTTGCTTCGCTTTTGGTGTGAATGCAGCATTCGTCAGCTGACTTTATGTTTTTGTCCCAGTCTCGATCACCTCGGACACCAGCCCTTTGACCCAGGGGATTCCGCATTGAATGAGGTTCTCCAAATCACCCTAAAAAGTTCATTGTCAGGGGGCACTTACATTGGAGAATGGGAAACGGTTTGTTAATACGGACAAACAGTCTTAAACAGTAGAAGCAAGTGGAAAATAAACTAAATTGGTCAAATATTAAAGCAAGAAAACATTTTTCTCACCACAGCCTTCACATTTTGCAGTTTTGCACAAATTGCAATATTTTGTTTTTGGGACGTATGACAATCATCTGTTAATATTCAATTGTCGTAGTTAGCATGCACCATAAAAATCGTAACTAACTGAAACGCTTCTATACGTTTTCTGCATCCTGAAAAGAAACAAATTTGTCTCATGCTAATGTGTATGTTATGTTGTTGCTTTGACTGGTTCTCGTCTATAATGTTCACTGAATCTGCAGTATGAATTTGGCACAGGTGCAGGGCTAATAGATACGATAGCCACTGTAAACAAGGTACTCGTTGTGGTTAAAGGGAATGTTTGCATGGTGCATGGACCAATGGCATCTAAGTCCCCAGTTGTGCGAGATTCCAACCACCATGACAAGTACATGGCTTTCTGCCTGGCTTAAATGGCGCAGTGTCGGACAATCAGGTATGATGTGTTTCACAGAAATAAAGATGTCATGAAGCAGAATCAAATGACATAGACACTTTTTTTCAAATGAATTATTATTTATTTTTTTGGTGCATTGTTGGATGCTGTGATTAAGGAAAAAGGGAAAGACATTATTACACAGAAATTGTTTAGTATTTCAGTTTCAGCTCGTTCAGTTTTGCCCAGAACCTTCGCCATCTAATAGAGCTCCTTCATTCGGAGGTATCTGGAATTACAATCTAGACATCACCGGGAGTGCTGTCAGCGAGCTGTCAACAAAAACGGAAATTGCTCAGAGATATCGGTTTCAAGTCTGCTTACGGGCAGTACTGCTTGAGTCATCACTTCTAAGAGGGTAGGAAGCGGGGAGATCTATGATTTCAAAGTAGCTCTTACATCGAGGGCCCCGTGTCCTTCTCGTCTGCACGAGCTGCAGGGCTGCATTTCGGGGGCTTTGCTCCATCCCCGCGTCCCCCGTTCCGGGTCCAATGCCAGAAACACAAGCTGTCCCCAATAACGAATCTGTCCCTTCTCTCTTTGTTTTAACCCCCCCGCACACACACCTCACCGTTCTCTCCCTTTCAACCATTGTCATCACAGCTTCTCATCACAGAGCCAGACGTGCCTTCTTTATGTTATTTTTAGCTTTTCAGTTTTCACTTCTCGTGCTGACAGAACAACAGATCATGAAGTGGGGAAGCACACAATGGGTTAGACGTCGATGATGGCAATGCTAGAAAAAAACAAACGCTCACACACTGGAGATGTAAACAGATTTTGTGTCTATTGATTTTCTTTCATTTGTTTTGTTTTATCGTAGGTGGATTATAATTTTGTATGCTTTATGGGAACCCTATTGTACATGTTTTACAGATCATTGTCTTGTCAAATAAAATGTAAAAGCAGAAGCACGGGACGGTCTTGGTGGTCATTATTGAACCCTGTCAGCTGCCCAGGATTAAGAGTTAAACTGAAGAAAGCAGCAGAGCAGCGTGACGGACATCTGGTAAATCCAAACATTTGTCTCATAACTTCAGGTAATGAGTAGATTTAGAGATGCGTTTATTCAGTTATAAAATAATGTGTTCATAATTATCCTATAAGATTAGTCTTATGTGTTTTGAATTTTAGTGGCCCCTTTTTAAGGGTTTCCTGCTGGGATGAATTTAAAATGGATTGTGGTTGTGGAAAAAAACAACATGGTAATCCAGGATGGTGATAAAAACAGTCCACAAACCAAAGGGAGACGACCCCATGACTACATCCGCTCTTTATATACAACCATGGTCCCAAACATCAGCCTGAAGTGACGTTACGTACTGAAGGAAAGGGTTTCCTCTGAGTCTGAACTCCGTACACAAGCTTCCTATTTAAATTTGCGAGGCCTCGACCCCCCAGAAGCCCCACCGTGTGACGTTCTGAATGTCTGGTGCAGTGAAGAGGTTCAGCTACTGCTGGCGAGGTCACTGGGCTTTGGCTGGATGTTCACTCTCCTGCTGTTTAGGATGATGCCTGTATTCCACTTTTACTTTGTGTTCTGAAGCATCACAGCGAGAGGAGCACATTTTGAGAGCGCTGAGTGCACTGCGACTGCTTCAAAACAGGGATTATTTTTGGACAAAAAGGAAAAGTCTCCTGGTAAAGTGCAGAGTCACTGACAATCTCCAGAATGCGCAATCCCTTTTCTGGGGTGGCAAGTGTGCCCTTTATACCGAGCCTCCACTGTGGGCCAGTGCTCTTTTGCCTGGCGCAGTCAGACCAGATGAGACGATTACTCATTGTCAGAGGATTTGTTCACGTTTAATTAGCGGCGTCGCTAAGTTCATCTTTGTGTCTGCCGGGCTCTGCTTTTGACAAAGATGTTGAGTGAGTGCGCAGAGGGTCGTGCTTCAGGAGCAGTTGGATTTAAAACAGACAGTCATGTGATGGACTATCACATTCGATTTTGAATAGCGTGGATGATGATTTACCTGATTTAGTTTCTCAATCCGATGATGTCAGGCGTCCTTCAAAGCCGGAATCTCAGGTGGTATTTCAGGGTTGATTGTTGCCCAACCTTTAAGGGATGATTTGTCTTTAAAAATTAGACTGTCCTCTTTCAAAGATGTAAACAGATGAAGGAAAGAAGGTGAAACTGAAACAATCCTGCACAATTCAGTGATGTCATGTTACATAATTTGACAGGCGTCAACTGTAAATGTGTAGCACACGCTGAATGTGAGATGTTGAACCTGGAGCAGCCACAGTGTGACAATATCCAGAGAAAAAGTATTTAATAAAATGCACACAAAAGAATCTTGTAAACAAACACCAGTGGATTTACACCTCAAGGGTATCGACGCCCTGATAAGCAACTTTTAAGTCAGAAGCACAATCTGCTTTATGCTTTATTTGACTCTAAATGCTTTATAATTTACTAAATGAACATCATGCTGTATGAAAGAACATATGAAACTAGAGACCCCACACTCATGTTTACAGCATTTAGTGGGGGAATAAATCAAGAGAGAAATAATATTCTATATTCTACGTGCTGTCTGGACTACACTCAATCATGCTAGGTACCATCTCCTGAAAGCAATGCTGTTCTCTGGGTTTGTTTCCAGCATTTTAATAGTTTTTAGCTACATAGTCTTTTCAGCTGTGAGAAATCCCTGAACAAAACTTGGTTGAAGTACTCATTAATCTGTATATGTGCTAGCTAATGTATTTGCAGACACACGGTACTTCATCATCATCATTTTTAGCCCCGTTGTGCAAAAACACTCCTATTGAGTTTTATATCTTTGATTAAACTTAAATGAGATTTACTTTTTTTGTGGGTTTACTTTGAATGCAGCCTGTATTTAGAAGTGACAAACGTCTGTTTACCACCCGAGCCTGAAATTACTCACAGTAATGTTTCCACTTCGTACTCACTAATTGCCCAAGCCATAAGTGAGGAGTTTATTTAAAGAAAGGGGAAAGAAGCTTTGGGGAAGAGGGCCGATAGCCGAGATGAAGAGAGATCTGAGAAAGTGGAAAGAGAAGGAATTGCCCGATAGAGGGATAAGTGTGAGCAGGTATGGAGGTGGACTGAGACAGATTAGGAGAGAGAGAGATAGACTGCGGGCCGCTGAATCAATGAGCCAGTCGATAGTGAGTGGGATAGATGTGTGGAGAGAGAAAAATGGCATGGAGCAGGAGAAGGGAAAACGCCCCCCGTTGTGTTGGAGCTCCTGTTGAGAAAAATGGCCCCAGAGAAAATGAGAATCCACGGCCATCCACGAGTGATTGAAAAGCCCTTTTTATTTTGGTTTATCATCCGCAGCAGGTACAGATTTGCGATTATTTGGTGACAGTTATTTTCTCCGGATCCACGGGAGAATTTATCTGGTAATGGATGTTTCATGTCCGATTTCCGAAATAAGGAAGACGAGTTTACAATGAATCCCTAATCTGAGCGGGAGATTAATTATTGTTGTTTGGCTGATAAGCAGACAGCTGGATAGAGAGGATGGACGTGTGAGATGTAATAACAGTCGTGAGGCAGAATGCCTGAGGTTATTACTGTTAACTCAAGATATTCCATCCCAGAAAAAATGAATGGGTTTTATTTGCTAAGTGCACTAAGAATCCTTTTTTCTTTCATCTGCTGCGAAACCAGTGACTATACTTGACATTTCAAAGGATATTTTATATGTTTTTAAAAGAAGAGGACTACTTTCGTGAGTGCCGTCTATGGTCTGTTATTGGTGGGGCTGTTGGCAGGCCCACATACAAAGGGGGCTATTGGATTATTGCAAATCAATTTTTCATTCAGCATAATAATATTCTCAAATGCTCACCATCTTTCACTATTTTTGATACGGTGGGAGGAAAAAGTTTGGCTATAATAGAACTGCACCGCCGTCCCATGAGTGGCAGGAACAGTGTTTGACGTGATGACGTTCGTTCGTCTCTTTTAACCACTTGTTCTGCTGTGTTCTCCAAGCTTGGAGCCAATTCTTCAAGAGATTACGTAGCAAGTAAATGGAAAGATGTGATTCCACAATATATTTCAATTTGAGCCAGAAATTTGCATTACAGTGTATCGCAAAAGTCTGTCAGCGCTTAAATGATCCTGTTATAAGCTGTGCAGACGGTGTTGAATCTGACTTGAGCCAAAAACATTTTTGGAGCTGCAGGTGGAAATCATATTGTTATTTTCAGAGTCCCTTATATTACTTTATTGCATGTGAACACCAGCAAAAGTGTTTATTTGGAGTTAATTTAGCCCAACTTGGATGTTGTTAGGAAACTAGACAAGATGCTGTTTAGTTTATTGGGAACTTCCAATACATGAACAAAGCAGAAATAATTGTCGTTTCAGGCAAGACGATGTACCCGTGAAGGGAAACTGTGTTTTGCATGCGTCAGTAGTACTTTGTTAACAATAGATGGATTCTACCTGTGGTCTGATCATGGTTAAACACGAGGCTCATTGCTCTGCATTGAGCCTTCACTCTCCGTAAAAACGGGATGATGGCACTCGAGCCATAAAGTTGCAGTCATATAGTTGTTGAAATGTCTATCGTTGATTGATTTATCTATGTATCAATATAGGGAATTAGGTATAGCACAATACAACAATACACCGAGTTGAAGTAATAACGGTTTCTTTTCTTTTTGACCACTTTCATTTTGAAGTTGGAGAAGTGAGTCATCAAAGAGAAACTAGTCAGTGGGTAGTGTAAGCGATCGTGGCCTCATCCCAGTAGCATGGCAGGTCATTTGTGGTACCAAAGAAAGATATTTATTGTCAAGTTCTCTCCACGCGGGTGCTTCACAACAGATTTAGAAATGCAATCAGCTGAAATGCTTGCACTCGTCGGCTGATATCTTCTCCGTCCCGACTCTCTCGTCGAGAGGAATGAGAAAGAAAGTGCTGCAGTCGGAACAAGCGGCGCTCCTCAGCAGCGATGCTATCGCCGCAGGCCGCTTCAGAGAGGCCCCCTGAGGACGGGAGGACGCCGTCGCTGTCTGAAAGTTCAAAAAGTCCTCTTCTAAGCTCTCTTCCTGTCCTTGCGCCTCGCCTTCTTGATTGAGGATGGACTGGGCCTCTTAGTGCACATGACGAGGGGGCCCTCCTGCACGCTAGTGACCAGCTAATGAAGCATCATCGTGTCATGTGATCAAATAAAGACGTTGGACAACAACTACAGACAGAGAGACAAAATTCTTGCAAATCTGAAAATAAGAAATAATGATTTCATTGTACTCATAGTTTGTTCATGTAGCGCCATCTTGATTCTCCTACTGGCTTTTTTACCCCCAAACATGAACGAGAACATGACTGAATCATGGATTTTCTTTTTTTTCAACATGTAAGAAAGGCACGCAAACGGGGATCAACAACGACATCCTGTCCAAACCAAACCACACCAAAAGTAGTGCGTTCCTTTATTGATGGCATGTACAGAAAATGGGACCATTTCTTCGTCCTATTCTCACACAGACGTATTTTGAGTTAACAATGTGCATCGCTTGCTAAGTTCATCCTTGAGAGTTGCCCGACACATTGTCAGCGGGCTGCGTATGTAAAACACAGGGGAGCTGTTCAAATACACACAACCCAAACGAAGAACGTGTGATTCAACCCTGTTGTAAAATATAATTGAATTTGGTGGGTGCCAAGAAAGTGTGTGAGTGTGTGTGTGTGTGTGTGTGTGTGTAGTAAGCTGATTCTTTTGTCTCTCACACATCTCGGTAGATTAGTTCCGTTTGTCTCGGCAGGAACAACACATGAAATGGTTGAAACCCTCAGATGTCATCGCAAATTCACATCCGCCTCATTCAGATACTCAGACGGAAAAAACAAAATAGCAATTCTCCTACTACCTGCAACACACCATCGTACAGCATTTACTAGCACACTTCAACACACACACAC